AAAGTGCTGAGACTTAAACCCCTGTGCCACCAGGGAGGCCCATCTTGCACACATTTGAGAACGTAACTTATGAATTCGTTTAGAGGGTTCTTCAGTTAAATCCAGGCTTTCTTTGGACACTGAGCAGTTTTGTGACTATTATGTAAAAGCAAGATTTAAGCCACATTTGTGCAACAACAGGAACAATAAAGAGAAAACCTGCACTGGGCAACAAAGGGGAGTTGGCAAAGGCAGTGAGTCGTTGAAATGGTCAACTGTGGCCTTCTCCTGTAACAATTAGACATGGCCCCCACGCCTTTTGTGAATAAAATGAGGCTGGTTAGGCGGCTTCCGGTAGTTCCAAAACCCAGTGAAAAGCAAAGAGAATGCACTCAGTCTGCTAAAGATTTAATCAGAAAAGTCCAGAAAGGCCTTCTGTTTCTCTTGCTCACAATAATGAGTGTTTTGCTTGCAGACCTCGTTCCGTGTTTACGCTAGATGCCGGTGACTGTGTTCATATGCCCTGTTATTTAACCCCGGCCTCATGCAACTCCTTTTGATTCATAAGGTTTTATCTCTATGAGAGATTTTGAAGGAGATAAAGAAGGTGCCATGTACATGTTTGTTTTCCTTTCTTTGCAGTGTAGTGAGAACTAAAACAGGAAGTGATTCAGGGGAGAATGCCTAGGCCACTTCAAACTCAAGTTGAGCTGAGAATTTGCTGGGGCTCAGACTTGTTGCTGTAGGCCAGAGGCCAAATGGCCTCATGGTAGCCATCAGAGCCTGACAGGACAACCAGGCCTTCCCCTCTGTCTCTGGGATAATATGTTCCAGTCCAGTATTCCCAAGTCTTAGGATTTGGGCTGGGTCTTCTTTATTTGCTATGCCACCTTTAGCAAGTTACTTCACTTCTCTGATCTTCATTTATTTCTTTCCTTGTAATACATGACTATTTTGAGCCTTAAATCAGAAAAATGTTGGTGATATATGCTTTCTAAATAATAGTCTGAATGAATGGAATTTGGCTGGAAAATATGCTCCTAGACCATGTGTCTGATCTGGGGGAAAATAGTAGTGACTGAGGGCTTATTGTGTGCTGAGGACTCTTGTAATTTGCTTAATCCTTGCTCTTACTCTATTTTACAGGAAAAGAAACTGAGACGTGGAGTTTGAGTAATTCATTCAAGGTTACCAAGTTGGTAAGTAACAGAACTGGATGTGACTGTGGCCGTGTGTTCTAGAGCTAAGAGCTTCAGCTGAGTTATCTGAACAGTTTCACAACAGCTCTAGAAAGTTGAGGTAAGAGAAGGAACTTCATCCAAATTTCTCTGCCAGTGAGAGGCTGTCTTCATCTTTTCCTATAACCATATAATATAATTTACTGTAGATTGGGGAGCATATAAACAACACAATTTTACTTCTCATACTTGTGGAAGCTGAGAGTCCAAAATCATAGTGCTGCAGATTCAGTATCAGGCAATGGCCTGTCCCTGTTCATAGATGGTCACCATTTTTCAGTAACCTCACATGGTAAGGGGCAAGACAGCTCCTTGAGCATTTCCCTAATTAGGGCTCTCATTCCATTCCTGAGGGCACCACCCTCATGATCTACCTCCCAAAGACCCTCCACGCTGTCACCTTGGGGATTAGGTTTTAACATGCTAATTCTGATGGGATGTGAGGGACATAAATAGCACACTGTGGGGTAGAGTCTGCAGCCACACCCAGCAGTCTGGCCCCAGAGACAGCGCTCTGATAACCACTGTAAACAGGCCACTCTCGCAAGGCCCCACATGGAAAACCGGCCCTCAGTTTCCTCTGCCCCTGACTACCATTTCTCCTTCTGCCTCCTCCTCCCTAGTCTTGCTGGTCTCCTTACCACCTCTGCTTGACTAGTTAACCTCTAGAGAGGTTTGGCCATCTGTGGGGAGGAAGTTATGCAAATTCTTAACTTTTGTTTAAACTGGGGTATAATTTATGTACTATGAAATGCACACATCGTAATTGTACACCTTGATGAATATTTAATATGTTATCTAACACCACCCATATCGGGGTATCCGACGTTGCCTGTAGTCCGGGAAGCTCCCTTGTGCCCTGTTGCAGTTAGTACTGCCCCAGAGCTGACCACTATTCTGACGTACAGGAGTGATCTAGATTCACGCTTCTAACTTGTCCAGCCCCAAACACACTTACTCAACAGAAGCTGAACAAAGTTGAGATAAAAACTAGCCCTTCACATAGCAGCTGATCCTGTGACTCCACCCAGTGGGTTCTGTCTTGGAGTGAAAGGAAAGGTAGACACAGATCTGCCCTCCTTCCTGTTGGTCTTTGTTCCTGTGACTTTTTAGAGTGTGAGAAACTTTTACCATTGAGTGTTTGTCACTTTGGTAGTTGTGAATTATCAGTGAACATGCCTTCCGAGTCATGCCAGCTATTTCTTCTCATGTTCTTTTTTTTTTTTTTTAAAAATTTATTTATTTATGCATACAGAACTGGGGTACAGGTCAGTGGTGTCGGGGCAGGGAGAGGCTTCACCAGAGACAGAGTGGGGAGCAGAACAGGCAGATCAATGAAGTACACTGCTGAGGGAGCAGCCCTCTGGTCAGGAAAGGTCTGATATGCCATGTGGTCACCTCCGGAGCAGGGGATCAAACCAGCACTGAAGCAGCTGCAGCCAGCCTGCAGTGCTGCGTCCTAACCCATTGCGCCACCAGGGAGGGCCCTCGTGTTCTTCTTAAGAGACCAATTCCAGTGCTGGCGAAAACTGACTTAACAGGAGATGGGTTGTCAGCCTCCAATGTGAGACCTTACTATGGGATTTTCCAAGAGACTTTGACTCTTCAGTTTCCACATCTGTGATGACTTTAGAAGCCAGTATTTGAGTAAGAGGCAATTGTACTATTCACAGAACTCAAGCATGGTTCAGTAATTAAATTAGATTTGGGAATCTGTATCATTCTGCAGCAGGGAAGACTAAGCTGATTTGTGCAAGTCCTTCCTGATATGAACAGAGTTGACTACCTATCAGAACTATATTTGGGGAATGCATCAGGAAAGGATGCCCATGAATGTCAAAAATGAAGAGTAAAGTTAAGGCAGATGGTCATGTGAGCTGAAGCCAGTGCTGCTCATGGGCTTTCCCACCAGGTATAAGCCATAGAGCCTTGGGGTTAGGCTTCTAGTGCCATAGTCAGTCTAGAAATGAAGCCTGGGCTCAGGATGGAATTGAGCACCCTAGAGTCTCAAACATCACACTTCTTCAGGAAGAAGGGCTAGGAATACTACACTGGCTGAGAAAATAGGGAGCTTACTGTGTGCGGAAGAAGTCACTATCAGAAATGAAAAACCTGGGCCCTCCCCGGTGGCACAATGGGTTAGGACGCAGCACGGCAAGCTAGCAGCAGCTACTTGAATGTGAGTTCAATCCCCTGCCCTGGAGTTGACCCACATGGCGCAGCAGACCTCTCCTGTCTTACCTGCTGCTCCCCTCAGCAGTGTACTTCATCGATCTACCTGTTCTGCTCCCCACTCTGTCTCTGGTGAATCCTTTCACCACTCCTGTACCTCTGGCCTGTACCATAGTCTGTATACATAAATAAATAAATCTTAAAAAAAAAAGAAATGAAAAATATGTGTTAATGGAATTGTTTTATTGTCTAATGTGATGTGAACCTCTGCATGCTGAAAATTTAACACAAAAACTGACCTAGTACCCTGGAAAATCCCTTGACAAAAAACCAAATCACTCTATAGGGATATTTCAACAACCCAGCCCTAACAGGTTTTCTCAGAAAAAATCACCTCCCCTGAAAAGGAGTCCACAGGTAAATATGATAAATTTCTCAGGAATTAAACTATTTTGAGTTGGAAGTATAAAACTATCTAAAAGAGACTCTTAAAAAGCATATTTATAATGATTGAAGACTAAGGTCAATATCAAAGATGTAAAGAAAGATAGAAAAGAACAGTATGATTTGATAAGCAGCCAAATTGAAATGAAGAATAGTTAGTGAAATTAAAATCCAACAGAAGGGTATTTGCTAGATTAGACAAAGCTCAAGAGAGACTTAGTGAACTGGAAGGCAACAGCAACAGTTACTATTTTGTCAGTGCTTACTATGTGCTAGACACTGTTCTGGGTACTTGTATTAATTCACTTGAAATTCAGATCAAAATTACAAGGAAAGTATTATTACCCACATTTGACAGATGAGGAAACAAAGGCATATCAGTTTGATTCACCTGCCCAAGGTCTCGCAGCTGGAAAGTGATGAAATGGAGTTGACTCCAGACTGGTGTAGCCTAGACTCTGTGTTTGTGGTAGGAAATCATCAAGGATAAGCACAAGGTGATATTGAGATGAAACGATCAAGGGATGGTAAAGAGCATAGAGAAGAGAATGAGAAGTTACTGAACAGAGGGACTAGGAGCAGGTGGTAGTAGAGCACTTTAGGATCAGGGAGCCATTCACAGCTGCAACCTGAGGTTCCAAGAATTGGTCACCCTACGGAAGTATGCAGTGCCGGGGTTGGGTGGCTGGAGCGCCTTGGTTTCCAACGTAGTGTGAACAACAGTCTGGTCTTCTTTTTAAAGATTTATTGTATTTATTTATGCATATAAGAGTGGGGGTGTAGGCCAGAGGTGTGGGGGATGAGAGGATTTACCAGAGACAGAGCAGGGAGCAGAACAGGTAGATTGACAGAACTATACTGCTGAGGAGAGCAGCGGATGAGACAGGAGAGGTCTGCTGTGCCGTGTGGGTCAGATCCCTGGCCGGGGATTGAACTTGTGCTGCGGAGGGTGGTGATAGCTGCATAGTACTACGATTTAATGCCTCCTACCACCAGGGAGGTGCAATAGGCTGGTATGTTTGACAATGATCTCTCTGGTGGGAAAAACAGAAGCCCTGCTTTGTAGCATTTGCTGATTTCTGTGGTATAAATACTCCCACCGTGACCATGTCAGACCACCACACACAGGCCTGAAAGAGCAGATCTGCTCTCTTACCCAGTCAGAGCCAGCTGCGCACACCGGTGCCCCGGCCTGCGTCCTGCTTCAGGCTCTTGTCTCTGGGTTGTGCTGGAGTTTTCAGGAAGCAGTGACGCCACGCGTGATCTTATAGTATCAGGGGGCATGAAAGAGACAGAAGGGCAGGAGTGGAGCTTGCCCTCCTTCCTCCCTTTGCATTTAAAAAACAAGCAGAAACACACTTGGTGGGTGTGGGAGGAGAACCGGGCATGCAGCTGAGAATGGAGAGTGCCGTTTCTCCCGGGCGTTTGGCCCAGCACCCACACTGCAGGCGCACATACCATTTGACTTGGCGACTCTGTCTACCTCCGGGATTTTGTCAGTCGCTTTATCGTACAGTATCTCTATTGTTACACATGGATGTGAGATAGCTTGTGGCATTGTTTGTACTAGGTAGAGCTTGAAGCAACTGAAAAGTAGGTCAGCAGCGGAACTGACTGAAGGCACTGTGGTCCGTTCTCACAGTCGAATACTGGGTGGCTGTTTAACACCTTAGGTTATATATACGGAGAAGGAATGATCTCCAGGATACATTTTTTTTTTTTAGATAAAACAAATATTTTCATTGTACTTTTTTTTAAATGAAGTACCATTGCCTTATATCCTTATTACTTTCTTTTTAAACAGTCTAGGATTTCCCCCCCAAGGATGGTCTCCATAACTCCCCCCCCCCACCAAAGCACCTATATCCTCCTCCACAACTGCCCCTCACCCCACCACGTTCTGAGCCCTCCCTCTCCCCACAGGATACCTCAGAGTTGTGGTTAGACTCCGAGGGCTGGTTTTAAGTTTGTCTCTGTCCATCCCTGTGTTTGGTTTGTAGTCCACACAGAAGCGAGACCATGGGATATATGCTCAAGTTTAAGAAAAAGGCGATATGCAGAAAACACTATGTGTTATATTCATTTGCGGTGGGGAAAAGGAGGGGAGCTCTAAGTGTTTACACACACACACACAAACACGATTTTGCATAGATGATTGCTGGAATGATCCCAAGAAAGAAGGTAGTTTGGGGGAGGACTGTTGACCTCTTAGGCAAAGCCCAGAGGATTGTGACTCTGGGGTGGAGAGTAGCTTTCTTACATGTATACTTTTAAATATTTTTTAATTTCTCAACCTGATCATGTAGTATTTGTACGTTAAAAACAACAAACTCATTAACAAAAAG